AATTATGAATAATAGACTAATAAAGGTAAAATGGACTTCAATGAGTATAAAGTATTTTTACAACTTAGGGTAGTACATGTACATGTGTGTATGAGATTTCAATTTAGGTCATTATAGTATCTGTTTCTGGAGATTATAAACCTCCTGCAAAAATTATACTAAGTACACATTTTCTAAAAGTCCTCTTCACTTGCAGATCAATAGAGTAGGTGGAAATAACTTAATAAATCTATATAATTACACAATATCATTTTTAGAAAAACGGAGGAAATTCGGATTAAAAGTTGGCGATGTTTTTTCAGTGTTTTTAAACATGTGTTATGACTGTAGCTTTGCTAAATGAGTTAAATAGATGAAAATTACAGACAATCTGACAATTTTACTTTTTTCCAAAGATAATTAAAAATAAAAGCATTGTTCACCAACTGGGAAAAAATACTGCCAAATTGGAAAAACTGAACTCATTTTCAATTGGGAATGAAGCCGAATGTCGGCCCATGAGAAGGCACTGATAAATCCCTGTTATCTATAGGTGTATCCGTGTCTGCTAGGTCGATCAGGGTTGGGCATACACTCTCCAATATTACGGTATGAATTTAGCCAATTGAGACATCGCAATTAAAGAAAGGGATCATGCATCCAAGATTTTATTCACTTTTCCATGCAGAAAAAGTTCTTTAAATGTGTGTCATTGCTTTCAGTGAGGAATTACCTTGTTACATGACAGAACCGCCATTTTTGGTTTGCACATGTGTTTATTTACGGTCACCTAAATGTTTGTAAAGGGTTCGATCATATATTTATAAGCGCTTATTTGACTAAGATGCATTCTAAATTTTAAAACCACCAGTTCAGCTGAGAAAAATCCGGAAAAATATTTCGGAAAAAGACATTATTTTTATTTTCATGATTGGTGAAAATTAGGGTCGGCGGAATCGTAAACCAATTGAAAAAAAAACTTTGGCCTTAATAAATGATTTAATGTTGAATAGAGATTCAAACTTTATAAACAATTATAACATTTACCAACACAGGGGGAGGGGGTTGAAATAGTAAAATCACTTAATAAAATGAAATATTATTTTTCAGGAATAAAATTTTGAAACTTTTATTTAAAAAAGGGACAGGGCGTCCATTACATCTTTTTTAATAAAACAAACCAATTCATAATTAAACATGTTAAATATAATGCACAAATGTTGAAATTGTTATTTATTGCCTGGGTACGGGATATATACATTTTGTATGTATTGCAGTCCGGTAAATCCGGTTGTACCTGTATAATTTTACTTTCACTAATATTCAGAGTTTTAGCCAAATGAAGAAAATTTCCAGTTTTTACCTGTAAACGACTAATTCATTAAATATTCTTGCAACTTCACAAGAGCTGCCGGGGTATCACTCACTAAATTTCATATAATTTTCTAACTGAGTTAAACAGTCTCCTCTGCTTATGTGTAAAATTCAGGTTCTTCTGTCACGGATGATGATCTCCAGTTTTCCATTCTCCAAGATTTTATTCAACCTTAGTATTTCTAATTCCCTTTTCTTATCAGAAATATCCTGAAAAATAGATAGATAAAAAATATTCACTATGCCAATTCAGAAAATTATCTGTAAAAGAATACATTGAGATAAAAAAAATAATTTGTTATCCTTAACGCCAATTTTAATTATATAATACATTCTGAGAAACAAGTTTGAAATAAAAATCTGCAATACAAATAAATCATATAAGCATACAAACAGTGTATACACTAAAAAATTAAATATTAATGTACCCGCAGGAGCAGCCCAACAGCAACAATTAAGAGAAGGGGGAGGGGGTTATCCGAGGCATTTTCTATCATGTAAACAACACTCTCCAAAAATGTAAAGTCTCCTTAAAGAATACATGCGCGGGCAGGGGATAAAAAATGTTGTTGTTAACGCATATGTGTTAATTAAGTTATGTATGGTCAGCAAATAATCATAATAATGCGTGATAGGGAGCATAAATTTTATCAAGGGCAGGTAATTGGATTACATTTACTTAAATTTCATGTTGCTGGGAGACCCAAAACTATTGTAGGCTAGGAAACAATGATGTTATTGTTTGTGTGTGTGTGTGTGAGAGTGTGTGTTAGGGTGTGTGTGTGAGGGTGTGTGTGTGTGTGTGTAAGGGGGGTGACCCCTTTTTCTTTGAAATGCCCTTTAAACTCACCTCTCAAGGTTAAGTGTGATCTTCGTTTAAAATCACTTTCCTTTATCAAGTAATGTATTCTTCTCAGAATTCACAATATGAGATGAACGTCCCTGCAAATTAATTAGATATCGCAATATTCTTAAAGACTACAAATATTTTATGCCGACCGCTGCACATGGCCGCATTTGCACTCAGACGATAGGCCTAACAATCCTGCATTTCATAAATGAAAAGCAGTATAAATACCTCCTGTTTCCTTGTTAGATATGGTGTTTTTGCCAGTATATGCGTGATTCTGCATCTTCTGCGTTCAAATGGCATGTTATGATATAATCAATTGCGTCATTTACTATCATAACGCATTAAACACAGGTGTTTAATTTGCAATTTCTATATATATACCATGTGTTTAATTTAGAAATATATGATGGTTAAGAAATGAACACTCGTGTTAAACACCGGTGATTAAAATATTGATAAAATTATAAAAGTCATCATAATATATGTTTCTCTTTCCCCTTTAACAGTTTATGAAATTTATGAATTTTTGGCACAAAATTACCATAAATTAATGTTAATTGTAATTGCTTTTGGTATGATCTAAAGTCAACGTATTGCCTGGCTATTCGTATTTTTTCTGTGTCGAAAAATATCTACTGGTATGTACGGAATTACTTCATAAATTAAGAAATTGTACAAATGGCAAATGCACACAGCAATACTGAGAAGCAACACCTAATTTAATTTTTTGATTTGATGCATATGAACATTGCGTGTTTAAGATGGATGATTAAACACGCTACTTATTGAACACCAATTTAAATAGTCGTGTTTATATGTTAAACGCTAATGTTTTGTATTTAAACCCACCATGTTTAATTGTAAAACACGACTGTTTAAAAATTAAACACTAGTTAAACATCATTTTTTACAGTGTAGAGTTTTTCTAAGTACCGAGTAAAACTACTGGCAGGAACGATTGATATATCTCCCTTTTTAGCATATGTTAACTTTATAAAATGTCAAGTATCTAGATCTGCTTCTGAATTCAATATTTAACAGATTTAGAAGTATAATTACTAGTAGCTTTAAATAGTTCATGGATAGTAAGAAACACTGCTTTCTGAAAAAAAATGTTCTTTTAGTAAAAAAAAAATAAATGTGTTCCCCGGTCTAGAATTCCCAAATTTATAGTAACGTGTTCTTAATTGTGTATCTTATTTTTCATGCATGTCTCCAAACTTATTTGATTCACAAGAGCAAGCTCCGAGTATGATCAATTTTTAAACCGAGGCATGCTACTGACAGATACATGCAAGTTGATGTTACAGTGATTTCAACAACCTCAGCATTTCGGAAATTCTATGGTCAATGTAATAACCTTGCAAATATAACCTATCATTGGATAGTATAACCCGTTATTTCATACAAAATGTTAATTGATCTTTGATCAATATATAGCTCACGGTGGGTGTGACCGATCGACAGGGGATACTTACTCCTCCTAGGCACCTGATCCCACCTCTGGATTTTCCGGGTCTCTGTGTTTTATTTGTATTTTAAAATTTCGTTGTGCCATTATATTGTAAAATGGTGGGAAAATCACCTGAGTTGATAACAGAGTATCATCTTAGTTTTGATACTCGGTGACCTTCAAGGCCCAGTCACTTGTTCTTCAATGGAAAGGTATATGAATTGTAATGTTTTCACTGAATTGGGGAGAATATTGTAAAAATCCTTTTAAAATATTAAATTTAGTTTGCCGAGTTTCTTCTTTCTTTCTCGTTACTTTTTTTTTCCATTTTGAGAGCACCTTACTTTAATTTCAACAGAAGAGAATAACAATGGTAAAAATTCAGAGTTTTCAAATTTCTTAACCATTGAACTGTTAAAAAAAAAAAGTAATCCTACAAGTTATTTTTCACTTTCAAGTTTTTTTAAATCAGGAAAGTAACAGTATGGACAATGTGTGATAATTCTATCTGTTTTACTGAATATACCTGAATAAGAAAATCCATCTTCCTTTCAAACAATACTTATTACCTTAAAATAAATATTGTCCACATTTGTTGATGAAATACATGTATGATCACTGTTCTAAAAATTCTGGAAAATATCTGTTAGATATACATGTATCTGTGTTTGTGTGCGTGCGTGTTGGAGAGATAAAAGTATATTGATGTGATATTTACCAAAATTTGCCAGTTATACAATAATCTTGAAATCAGGGGATAATTCAGTTTACTTTATTATTTTATATTGATATTCTATTTCGAACAGTCGCTGATGTAAATGAAAGAAATCTCCTTTTATAAACTTCAACAGTTCTCATCCAAACTCTCTCTATATTGAAACCAACATACATGTAGTTACAGTCATCTACGAGATCCTGTTATAATTAAAAGATGTACATCTCTTTAAAATCTAACAAATTACATATATTAACTGGCCCTTAGCTTTTGACTTTTATTCAACTCAAACTATTTAACTATTCAGATCTCAAATAAAGAAAAAAGAATGAAAAGGAAAGAAAAATTCGCTTTAGATATCATCTTTTATTTTTATTGTTGATAATATGTAACAAAAGTGTGCAAATTCTTTTCTCTGTTTGAATTACAATAATAAATAAAAAGACGCAATTTTGAATACATAAAACGCATTCTTTTTGGTTACATGTACTAGTATTAAATTTTACCTGAAATGATAAAGGAAGAAAAGGGATTCTTTGAATATTTCATCATCAGCAGATGTTTATCATTACATGTAGGTCATTAGGTAAAACATGCTACTGACGGAGTTAACTAGGAAATGGTGCCTCCTCCTCCCGTGCTCCCTTTCTCTCCCTTTACTCCCTTCTGTCCCTTTTCGCCCTTCTCTCCAGCGGCGCCCGCAGCCCCGTTTTCTCCTGCTTCCCCTTTCTGTCCCTGATCTCCTGCCTCCCCTTTAGTCCCAGCTGTTCCTGCGGACCCACTAGGTCCTGTTTCTCCCTTCTGTCCCTTCGTGCCAGCCTCTCCCTTCTCACCAACCCCCTTCTCGCCTTTATCCCCCGCGGGACCAGTCGCACCAATGGCCCCTTTGGCGCCCTGTTCTCCCTTATCACCCTTTGCTCCTGATGCTCCTTGATCTCCTTTCTGTCCGGTAGAACCCTGAGTACCTTGGATACCCTTATCACCTTTGACCCCAAGATTCCCCTTGGCGCCTTGACTACCCTGAGATCCTGTGCCCCCCTTGTCACCAGTGTCCCCCTTTTGTCCTGAAGGTCCAGGCTCGCCCTTCAATCCTTCAATCAAAGTAATTATTAAGAAAATCATATGACAAAGACATTTAAGACATATAAACGAAAACCATTCCACACAACATATCTCAAGAATTTAATAAATGACCTCCTATAATTTCAATATCAACAAAACAAGGGCAATATACGTAAACAAAGGCTATAGAGTTCATATCATTCATATTTTTATAATATTGGGTCAAAATTTGGTAAAATTTAGAAAAAATATATAGGAAATTAATGGAATAATGAACAAGATTACAGGTATTTCGATACCTTAGACTTTGATTGGACGAACAATATGTATATATGTGTCATTTCACACATCAGCCTATGGATATTTTTTTTAATTGTTATTATTTATGTATAGGGCACGTAGAAAACAATTTTAGTTTTTTATCGAGAGGGGGGGCACAACTAATGGAACTTCCTTGACAAGCTCAAAAAAGTAATGAAACGTAATTGAGGGGAAACTGCCGTAAATTAGAATTGGTTTTCTCTTGAATGGCATATACTGGGTTCCTTTAACACCCCCACCTCACCCAATTAATGAAACTGTATTAATTTAAGGTTTCTTAATCAGATACCTTTTATCAGTTCTGATATACTTATTCAATACCATACCTTTACTAAGAATTAAAACAATGTGTTTTAGCTGTTGCACTTGTTTGCACAGTTTGCGGTACTGCTGAAGCAGGTTGTATGATGTGTACCTCCACCCTGCTATCTCAGGCACCAAGACCACAGCCACCGCCACCAAAAGCAACAACTTCGTATTCATCCTGGCTAAATAAATATACAAAGAAAATAAACTAATCATGATAGCAGTTCATTGCAATATTTGTAAATGAAAAAAAATATGATTCCAATCGTGTTTCTGAGTCAAAAACATTACTCTTGTCATCTATCATTCATATCTCACCTTAATTTCGAGTGGATGGAAAACCCTGTTGTTGCTTACATTAGTTCATAGTTGTATACCACTTGTTCTAGGAAACGTTTTCTTATATATAGCAATCATTGACTTGACCACAAAGTGACCAAACTACTATATTTATCCTTTTGAAGTCAGTTTTAGCGAACACTACTACTATGACACAGCTTTCATTCAAGGCAGTCGTGAGATCTGATCGTCTCTGTATCCTGTAATTTAGGAATTCAGATACAGAACACGGACAGTGTCATCCTAGAGTAATGAGTAATAAAAACTTGACGTATATCTAAACATTTGAATTTGGACGACTAAATTCTGTGTCTCTAAATCAAACCTTTCATTCTACAACTTGATTTTGCATAAAACGGCTTTAAACGAACGCAAATGCATCGTTTTTTCTTATTTCCATCCCATAGGGAGGTATTTCATGACTTGCTAGACATTTTGAAGTGTTTATCAGACAAAAGAAAAATCCAGATGACTAGTGATGTACATGAAACATGAAGATAACAAACAGCAATCAACCTCAAAAGCCCATTGAAACAACACAAATTTGGAGCAGATCAAAAAAGGACCTCTAAAACACATCAGAGGTGGGATCAGGTGCCATGGAGGAGTAAGCATCTCCTGTCGACCGGTCAACACTCGCCATGTGCTCTTGTCATGATCGACAAACGGAAAAATCTGTAGACAATTCAGTGTAAAAATAATGGCCTAATAATTTGTATGAAAAACATGTATGTACATGTATATAAGAAATCTCAGATATAAAAGAAAAAAAAAAACAAGAAAAAAAACTGATAACTCCATATAAAATGAAACATTGTAAGTTTATTTGAACTTTGATCACAGACACAAAAACAAATGGATTTCAACACAATATTAAATAGGCATAACAAATGGACATCGTATTATAATGGTGTCTTAATTTTTCTACTCGGGCTCAATATCACTACTCTTATTAAGTTACCAAGTGTGTACAATTTTAAAGCACAATGCTGAGGACTATTAGTAAATTCTTAATACTTAACAAGACCTTCACAGGGTTTGATATAGTGTTAAGTGATATGGTAAAATATTGTTTGAAAAAAATTCATACATCTTAAAATAAAGACTTCAGTACATCAAAAATGACTAGGCCTGGTTATGAACAATACTACATATTACCATTCTACAAGAGTTTTCATTAAACAACTTGCTTTTCATGTGGAAATGCGATATAAAATTCACTGTACAGAGACATATCATTACTATCTATAAAGTTACAGAGATATAAAATGACATTCAGGTGTTTGAGAAAATAGATTAAACTTTTAAAATTTTAACAATAACTTTGAAATATCAAGTGGTTAAAGAACTTTTATATAATTGTTACATATTTTTTTTTCACATTTACTGTGTCATTAGTTACGTGTACATGAAATGTGCTCACAACTTTCCTTTGCCCTAACATGCATGTTTTTGAATTTTATTTTGTGTAACTAATTGCTTTTATGTATAATTTACAGCACATTGTAACCTCCCCCTCCCCCCCTCCCTTCAAAAAAGGAACTTAAAATGCAAGAGAAACATCATTGCTTAAATAATAAGCCTACATACAGTTTATTAAAATGTCAATTTAGTAAGAAATACGCTATGAAATAATTCATCTTGCATGAATATTTCAAGCTCCTTTGGTGAAATAAAATGCAGAAAGCCTTTATGCTATATATATTGCATGATGCTTATAGGTTTTGTTAGGTTGTCATATATTTATTGCATTGCACTATCATGATATCAATAATGAATGAGGACAAAAGTGAAATTGTATTGCTTTCATGTACATCCCTGTAGAAATACATGTCATTTGTAAAAATAATATAAAATACAGAATTCTGAAACAATATCAAATTTGAAGTCATTGTAATACATAAAGAGGACAGAAAAGGATAAATATCATGAGATTCTACAAAATGCATCACAAATAGACAAATGTCTGAGAAATAAAAAAATCACTTGCTTAGGCTTGTGTTTGTATGGAATTCAGTACTTGACTAGATTTATCATTTATAAATTTATACAAAACTTTTTACAATAATGATATATATCATAATGATAATACATATCTATATGTATAGGAACTGTAGAATTAAATGTACCTTATTGGCATTTATCCAATTACAAACTACAATGAAGAAAATGTCAAACATAAACAGAGAAAAAAAAACTTTGAGGTATCAAATGATTGATAACATATACTACATTGGCAAGTTTAATGAACCTTCTTATCTTTAAAAAAAAATCTGCATGCAGTACACTCTTAGTTGTAATGCTGTAGCTCAGAAGTTGTGTAAAATAAAACTAGATTTAAATCTCATCTCTTACAACCTATTTCGAGAATTGCTTTTTCTGTAGATGACAACAATGTAACTAATCATATACATGTGTATTATTACTAAATAATTAATGCACTAAAAAGCATGTTAAATAATGTTAAATACATGTACATGTTATGTAAATAAAGATTATAAATTCTGCAGCAGGTGCTTTACTTTGAATTTCTGAATACAGGTGTCTTTCAGAACATACGTACCTACACTTGGATGCTTTGTTCGTGTACATGTATAGTATACAAATACTTTTATATGGATAAATACCGGTAAACACCCTTTATACACAAATTAAAAAATGGAATTCATGATTATATATAAGCAATACTAAACAATAACATTATATTTATGATGTTATCTGAGTAAAATCTCACTCAGTAAATATAGAAACACTAACAACCAATACAATATAAAATCAATAATGATTTGAAATGATTAATCATCATGAAAGTTACCATCAAACTTGGTAGAGAAATTCCAAACATAAAGATTTTATATACATTGCCCATATTTACTCTGAATCACATAATGGATAATACCCTATTCAATGGAATAAACTGGAATTGAATACATGTATGTTGGATGTGGGATTCTATAGCCAATGTCGTTGCTTAAAGAATGCCAATAGAATAATTAATCTTAGGATGCAAATTTAACACTGTTACCATTAACTAATGTGATCATTGTACATGAAAATGTAAAAGTTAAATACATTACAGTGTTTTTAATTTCACTATGTTTGTGATTAAAAAAAAATTTCCACAAACATTAATTGAGCTATCATGAATATTGTGGACATCTCAATGTAATTATTCATGTAAGTGATACATGTATATCAAATACATGCCATGCACTTTAAAACCCCCTTTCTTCTATTACATGTATAGAGTCAAATAGTTGTAAATCATTTAGGAAAAGTAAGGTTATTAACAAAGACTAAATGTTAAGTTTGTTATGAATAATTTCCACCATTTTTTCTTTCTATTTAAAGAATAATTTCTAAAATCAAAAATATTTACAAATGTGAAAAACATATGAAAAAAATAACATATGAAAAAAGATCTTCTTCAAATACATATCAAAATTATAAATCATACAGCATAAAACTTTAAATGTTTGTTCAAGTTTGCTCTTGAAAAGCACTAGTAAGGACAAGATAGGCTAAGACCCCTTTTTGGCCCCTGGTTTGGGGTGTCTTTGAGAATGATACAATAGTTTATCAATTAAAGACCTGTTGTCACCCCTGCCTCAAAATGAGCATTGGTTCCAAGTTATGGGATACACAGAGGTCACAGGAAGGTCAGAAAATATGTCAATTTCCAAATTTTCTCATTTTTATGCAAATTTTCATCGATTTTACAGCACATTTTGGTTCAGAAAACATAGAGCACAAGCTTGCCTATCTACCAAATTTATATGTTTTAATGATCTAGTATCAAGTGCATCTTGTGTATAAAAATCTCAGATAGGCAAGCTTGTGCTCTATGTTTCTCGAAGTGAAAAGTGTCTCAAATTTGACGAAATTCAAGAAAATGTCCTACTTCTGCACCCTCTTGTGGCCTCCGTGTAAGCTTTGAATAAAAATTAGAGCTGGTTTTTAAACAAGCATCATTTTAAGTTCTTAACTACAAACTATCACAATTTTAAATGTGTTCTGATTTTTACATCAAATAAGGGGCCAGATTCGGCCGATACCATACCTTGTCCTTTTAATCCCAGAAATAAACCTACAGTTTTTCATCATTCAATATCAAATGGCCAATAAGAAATTGCATGTGCTTTTGACATAACATTGTGCTTATTAGAGAAAGCTATGTGGTGTTAATTCAGTCAAACTTTTCCTTTCTACCAGACCTCACACTTTTTCTTGGGATTCATCCTTGAATTAGCTGGACATTTATACTGCTCAGCAAATTCCTTAGAGTTGGATAAAGTTCCTATAACTCTGAAACAATACAAACATTACATTTAATCATACATGTAATTGTCAATCAAAAGTCCTTTCCATGAAATAAAAATTTCAGAAATGATAAATGATGAGTTCTTGGTACTTTTTATATAACACAGGCTGTACCTGACTTGATTACTACACAATAAAGTTTACTCTTTTATTTTTTGTACAGAATACATGGTACTATTACTGGCATGGATAATTGATCTACTGTAGAAGTACTTTTATCCCTGTACTATACTATGTATGCCATCACAGATTTTTCACAAAAATTTGTCCCAGCATACATAAAGTACATTTAGGACATATTATAGCAATCTAAGAAATCTGTGTAATTTTATGCCAGCGGATTGAACAGAAATTGTGGTTTCGTGGATTTTGACCCTGTGGAAAACAGTACATTTACACTATCCCCTGCTTCTGACTCTCTAAAAGATCTCTCTATTGTTTTACCTGTAGATTGCCGGACTGTGTGGGTCAGTCAGAATCTGTAAATGGTCAGCTTCCTTTGTACTCGCAGAGCACCACACCTAAAAAACAATTAGGTGACAAAATATAGATTCAAATCGTGCATTTATTGAAGGACATCCATCTTAGAGGAGTTTTCACAACATAACATGTGATATGTACCGGTAATATGGACAAAAACAAGTAACTACCCTGCTTCTATCATTAAACATTCCTTCCAGCCTTGCTGCAAAGTACATAATATTTGACGATTTAACAATAATCCACCCTCCACATACATGTATGTCATGACACCTATGTAAATTCTTCTCTTTCCCTTATTCACTCTGTACTTATTTTTTTTTAACACTCTCTTTCCTGACCTGTGCAAATCCTAGGAAGAACAGCTGTTTGTGCGTGAGATTCAAGGCAGGTAGTGGTTGTTCCTTACCATTCTGTGACAGCCAATAATCATATGCCTAAAATTGAAAAAAAAATATATACACTATACATGTTTAGTCAATAATCGTAGGCCTAAGTTTAAATGATGTACATGTACATATATATTCAATAATCACAGACCTGAATTTAAAGTACATGTACTGAAAGACAAACCTTATTAGGTCTTCTGTTTTCAACGGAAGACCTATAGTGATTCTACTGTTTCTTATTATTATTATTTTTCATTTTTATTTTTTTGACCTTTTCAAATCGCGATATCTCAAAAACTACTCATTCATTTTCAGCCAAATTTTCAGGAATGATGTGTTATCTCATGCCATTTTGAAATATTGAAAAAGTTCGGAAAAATTTACTTCCGGTCGGGAATTATTACGATTTTTCACTTTTTCCACTAAAAATCTAGTCCATGAATGTTCTCAGAAACTGTTAAAGGTAGGAGTCTGAAACTTTCAGGTATGATAGAATTTGGTTTGTAGATGTGTGATGGAAACATTTCATGTGTCGTCGTCACTTCCGGTCGTCACAGGAAGTGATTTAAAAAGAGTAATTTTTTTAACTTTTTTGTTTTTCATAATTTTTTTATGATGTTGATAGGCAAATAAAGAGTCTTACAACAATGCTAAATATGTAGTTTGTTTAAAAATTGATGACCCATACTCTAAATATTTATCATTTTTCAATTTTAAGCGATGATGTTTGATAGCGTAATGGTTAGCATGTTGAATTTTCACGTGGGCAATCTGGATTCAATCCAAAGAACGTCCGATTTTTTTCTTACTTTTTTGGGCTGAAATGTAAGATTTTATCTTGGGGGGGGGGGGGGGGGGGGGCTATGTTGTTCGATGTCAGAGCAGTGGTGTTTGACGGCACAATATCAGCGTGTCTTTTTACCCCCATCATAAAGAGTTTGCAGTTGAATTTTGCACTAATTAATGTGCACAGATGCAATTGTGATATGACGAAACGAGGAAAACATGTTGGTACAAATGTATTTGTAGCTAGATACCTATGCAAATGTATCATAAATTGGAGAGTTGCCGAATTGTATTTTGAAAGTAGAATTTGTTACTTTCTCATGTTGATTGAATAACATATAGCAATTTCAAATGAGAGAAAAATAAACTTTAATGATATTTTTCTTTGATTTTAGTAGGGCAATATTCCTTTATAGATGCAAGTTACTGAACATAATAGGCTTCAGATTCCTTGAGCGTCATATGGCGAGACGTGTTTTGTTGCGAAACATTCCAGTCTTTTCATTAATGTATTACAAATTGGAATAATCCACTTTGGGAGTAAAGAGGAATATAAAATGTGTAAGAAAACTTAGCGCTGCCTTTACGTTACTTGCCCCTATACGGTATATTATATGTACAGTGTGATAAATATACATTCTTAGGCTAGAAAATCAGGCTATAGCAACATATTTTTTTAAAATTTCATTGAAGCTATCACGTACACTTTTTCAATTGAAGACACATTCCAAAGAAAAGGCGCGAAGATTTACTCGTGACGTTTGGTGCGAAATAATTATCTTGACCCGCCTTTCACAAATGGTCTGAGCAGTAGTGTAGAAGTACAGAAAAAGATTACACGGACATGTCTGAATTTGGAATTGCATAGAATAGAAAGTTGAATGCATAAAGAATAAAGGAAGTAAACACAATAGTTTTTTTTTCTTTTTTAGTTTTTATCAGTAACAAATTATTTTCTCTGCTATCAGTTATTGTTAAAACTCAAGTAACAAATCCGATGTAAATCTAGTACTTGCACAAAATTTAGCTGGCTAGTTTTCATCCTATAATTCCACACTATAAGAAAAAAAGATTAACCTGCCTGACACTCGTTACTTCAGGGAATGAGTGCAAGGTAAACATTGGTGATGGCTGGTAAATTGCGCTACTGTAGTGGTTTCAATATTAAAGAACAAGGTTCACTTAGGGCCTTTTTTGGCCCTGTGAATTTCAGAAAAACTGAAACTGCTTGGTTTTAGTTGACAATGCATCAAATATCATTTAAATAGACCTTTGATGACTGCGTATCTATCAAAATGACGTAATTTTCTGGCTAGCCAATGCATTATGACGTCATGAAATGCGTCATTTTCCTGATATCGTGAAAAAGTCTACAAAACAGCCAATTTTTAAAGCTGTTTTTCGATATTTAATATAGAGCGTAACCTCTTATCTTAAATATGCAACTATAAAATGATAGAACTATTTCTGGGGATTACAAAACCTGTTTTATTTTTTAGATCAGAGGGTGCGCTCATATTATTTCTCTTCTCTGAACGTACTCAAATATACTTATTTTCATTAAAATTCAAGAACATTGCAATTTCATGAGCCCCGTTTTCCAAGACCTTGGCTATAAGGAGAAAATTTTTAATAGGAAATGAAAACACTAAGTCTCTACTTTATCTTGTTGTTTAAAATGGAACATAAAGTGTTAGTCAATAAATTGGTATATCTACAGGGCCATTTTATGCAAAAAGTGAACCTAGCTCTTTTCGGGCAGCCGATCTTGGTTTAATCCTGACTATAACTGAATTTTCGCTTAAATTTACGTTTTCATCTTTATCAATGATGTTGAACTTTGTTTTTCTCTTTGTGAATTCTGTGCTCTTTTTATTTTTTTTTTCTTATAAATAAAAAATCTATTTAAAGACCCATGTTAAATTTTTAGATGTCTTTACAACAAGCAGATATAAATGTAATTTTACGTGCAAAGAATATCACAGTTAAGGATGGCAATTCGGACGGAAGACCTCTCGTTGCTCGCAACGAGTATCTAGTTGAACTTACAATTTTTAATCAGTCTTGTAAATCATAAGTTTTTAGATCTGTAATTTTAAATTCGGATAACAGACTCACATGATAAGCAGCTTTTAGTCCTCCATTATCTGCTATATTTTCCCCCAGTGTCTGTTTACCTTTTACCTGAAATTAAAAATTGGATAAGTAATACTGAGCATGATTTCATATCAGTCTCCCCTGTGGTGCCCCTGGTTTAAAATTACCGTATATACTCGCCTATAAGTCGGATTTTTGGGAGTTAAACTTTGGTCCAAAACTCTATGTCCGACTTATAGGCGAGTTATAAAAAGATTGGTATTTTAGAAAGTCAATCCCTCTAATATAAGCTTCAAAAATACAACCGACTTATAGGCGAATACCTGGTATGTACTGTATTCAGTTTTATTTTAAATACCTGATTAAATACACTTGCTCATAAAATATGGATTGCTTTCATATTGTGTATTAATAAATGTTGAAGGTTGTGCAAAAAGAAAGTAGGCCACTGGCATTTTAGAATGAATAACCAAAATTAATTCATAATATTACTAGAATAAGAATATGACTTACATGATTATCCCCCAGTTTATATTGTGAGTATTGATCAATAATACACTGTGTCCTGTTCTGGAAGTTTACAATGGACTGATTGTTCCACCAAGGATGGAGATTGCCATATTTATCAAATTCTCTTCCTAATAGGAGTTAAAAATGTTTTCAGTATTAAAAACAAAAAAAAAGTATACATGTATGATACTAGACAAATATAGGCCTTTCATGAGGTCGATCTATAGAAATATTGACTTCACAGAAAAGCATATCGACTGAGCAGGAAGTTGTATTATTTTTTACAAAGGCAACATTTGTTATAATATTTTTTAAAGGAAGATTTTCAAAATGTAAAGAAAAAAATTCTGTTATTAGAAAGTACTGGACAATTGGAGTATTCGCTGATAATAAATTAAGTCCTTTCATGAGATCAATCCATAGATATATTGGCTTCACAGAGAAGCATAAGGACCAAGCATGAAGTGTGAGGTTGATATGCTTTTCTCTGAAGTCAATATATATCTATAGATTGACGATATGGAAGAGCTTCATTTGTTTTATTATTTTTTAACAAGATTGATAAATCAAAATTTGCAAATAAGGTGCAAAGTTTTCTCTACTTTTTAACACATAGAGACTATTTTTAGAAAGTAAAGGTTGATCAGAGTTTTGTAAGTTTATAATTAGAAAATCCAGCTCTATCCACATTTCTGTATACCCTGACATGTGATATCTAACAAACCAATGGCAAAGCTCATTGAATGTATGAAAATAATATTTTTAATTCATCAAAAGACATTCAGAACTTTTCAATTATCTCTCATAAGTGTAGATAAATAGATGTAAATCCTCTTACTCTGGTGCCAGACTATCAATCTAAGATGCTCTCCTTAATCTCTATCTACCGTATATTTCTAATAGAGCTTGCTTATCAATTTGACAAAATGTAATTTAAGTGTTCTTGATTTGAAATATTTTGAAGTTTTTTTTTCTACATTTATATAAATTATGTTGTCATATTTAATTACTTTCTTAATTATCTCCGTTTCATACAAAATGTTGCCCTTATTCTTTTAAATAAACATGAATTCCTTTACTTAAGAATGCTTTTTTGGCAAGTTTGGTTGATATTGGCCGAGTGGTTCCTTTGAAAGTGAAATGTTATAAAAAGCAAACAGACAAATGACAGACACCTCAAAAAACTCTGATCAGAGCACCTAATTTCTACCTCAACTTTTAGCTCAATTTCAGTGAGCTAAAAAGTACTGCTAGATACCTTGATCATCAAACCCATGAGTGAGTTCATGCCCCATTACCACTCCCATGGCACCAAAGTTCAGGGATCTGTAAATGGCATCCAAAAAGGATTAATTTGTTGTTGCATTTCTCATATGTTGTATGTTGTTTAGCCCAAGTGATCAAAACTTTTCTTTGCACAAAATATATTCACATATATAATAACCTAAATTTCATATATTCACATATATAATAACCTAAATTTCATATGGACTAAAATATTTATATTTAGAAAGGATGTATGTTCAAATGAGTACCAAACAAGAGGTGTATGCATGAAGACAAAGAGTTCAAATAGTCAGCTCTGTCTAATTCCTGCAAAGCTCTTTAAATGTTTGAAAAAAAAAATGTACAGACTTAAAATGTGTGTGTGACTTACTTGGGATAGTCTATCTCATAAAATGGTGCTTGCAGAATTCCAGCCGGGAAAACAATCTCATTCTTTGTGGGGGTGTAATAAGCATTCACTGTTGGTGGAGTCATGTCCCATCTACAATACAAGACAAAAATCTGAGTAATGGTATTCCTTCAATTTTCTAACTTAATGTTCAATTTTGTTGTCAAATGAAAATCTGTTGAAAAGACCCATGAGCCAGAAAAAAACTTTGAAGAGAAAAATTTATTTTAAACTCTGGTTCAGGTACACTAAATACACAAATAGCTTTTTCTCTTTAAGAGAACATGTGTGCTTTCAATAACAAATAGTACATGTATATAGAGAAAGTTGCTGTTAAGCTGGTCTATGAAGTTGTTGAAAGTTTCTTACTCATTTTTCTTTGGTTTGGACCTCAGGTTCTGCAAGTCTTTCTTGACAACAAACAACAAATTCCTGATGTTGTTTTGGAAGTACTCATTTGCCGTAACCTCTAACTATAGAATAGATAACAAGCTGATAAATACCTCAGTATATGTTACGTAAGGTACTCTCTATATAAAGCTAAGTGGCAAGTTGTCCTACTTCCCTGTACTATCAAATCTGATGAGATATAAGTGCTGTCATTATCAGAATAATTCAAATCAGTTCCACGACAGGGAAAATATCTTCATCTCAAACTTGATAAGGAATGTACTTCTGCAGTAACATAATGACATATCAAACATTAATTCTAAATGAACATTGAGGAAATCTTACATCTTCATATTCCTTATTGAGCAGTGAGCTGTTGTTTATGTAAGCTGGAAAACCTATGAGGTCAATAACAGAATTCGCCTGAAAAGTAATTATGTTCATGTATGAAAGATATTTTCTGTCTTTTTTGGCAAACATCTTAGTGTAAAATAATATAGTTTTTTTAATATTGTATAGATTCAATGCAACTATAAAATAGAGTATTCTGATGAACTGTTTATTTCTTTTGTGAAATTATTATTTAATTTCTCTAAGTTTCCATTATTCATACCTTATCCCTTGCTGCCTGTCGTGTCTCGTCATCCATCCAAGAGAGATTTGGAAGATTCTTTTTGAAAGCATCTTTGACCTCATTCACCATTTTTTCTGCCTAATAATATTAACTGAATGACTTAAACATACATCATACATATCTTTAAAAAAAATACTCCCCCCCCCCCAAAAAAAAAAACCCAACCTACTAGAGGCCCCAAGGAGGCAGAGACTATGGAAATTAAAAAAAAAAATGTTTTTCTTTACTTATAGATTTTATATTGTATCAAATTTGGTGGAAATTGTTTCAGCCATTCCAGCCGTGGAAGAAACCGATTATTTCAAAAGTTTACAAACAATGGACGATGCATGACAATTGATGAACAGATAGCAACTGTATATATGGTTACCTGAGTGACTCAGGAGACATTAGAAAGAACTTAACTTCTTAATTTATTTTTAAAGGGATGTAAATGTATTTCAGATTCTTGAAGACTTCAGTACACTCTGTTAAAATGACTTTCATAATTTAGTTTGGAGCACTTCGAAACATTAAGAACAGGTGAGAGAAAAGGATTTATAATTTTATTTTTCAAATTAATTCAAAGCTTAGAGTTGATCAAAAGAAATAAAGGACATTTACCATCTTGTTACAGATCTGACCTTTTGTTTGCTGTCCCCTTTGAAGGCCTCTCTGACAAACATGGCCCCCAGAGCCATTCCTACAACCCCATCTGTATCTGTAATACAGTACCTCCACAGTTCCTCTCCACCAGTTGTCCCTAAAATTCACAGAAAAAACTTCTCAATAAACCTCTCAAACTTCTAAAATTACATTCCTAAGGGGGTTGGAAACCCTATACTTAAAACACTTTAAATCCCATAATTCAAACATTCCCCATTTATGCTATAAAAAACTATAGATCTACCCAAGTATATGTATGTTTCAATCTTTTTCATAAGCAAGTCTTAAGGCATAAAAAAAACATGCATGTTTGAAATACAACGTAATTGGAATAATTAAGTACATGTACTAAACAAAGAAATCTTGTGAATATTACAATATCTGCTACTTGAGGAATACTTAGAATTGATTTTTATTACATAGTCGACCAGTGTAATGTACTCTAGCTCCTGATTTTAAATTAGAATTTTACCTGATAATGCCTCTGTCAGAATTTTCTTAGCATTTCTGAATGGCTTTGACAGGTATGATGTCAGAGAACTGACGACATGCCATAGGAGGTAGTTATGTAATGTCCTTAAATAGAAAAGTTATACAGACACGCTGAATATTGACAATAGGTAAGATTTATTAAGAAATTAAAGCAGAACACATTGAAATCTCTGAAAAAATACTGAATTTAATTACAGCAGATTCCTACATATAGGTAAAAATTTATATTATTAATGTACATGTAATTTTGTGAGAAGCAATTACTAGCTTTTATTATTTCATTGCTGAAATACATTTTAATTCTTGATATACCATCTCCTCACAAATTCATTATCTCACAATTTGAAGTCAATAATTAAGTCATTTTAATTTTCATAGAGTTTGAGGCAGTTAAACAAGGATAAAGAGAGAGAAAGTTTTAACTATGATGTCATAATGAAATGATGCAAAAGCAAAATACAAGCATAAAATGAAGTCAACAAAATATGATGTACCAGTAAACATCAAACAAAATGCATAAATTGCATAAGAGTGGGAATATCTATCGTCTCATTTGTTATGTGTGACTGTTAAGGAATGTTTTTAAGTTTTGTGTGAGTCATTGGTGTGTAAATCACACAGACTTGTCACGTAGGCATATTTCATGAAGCACGCTAGCGCTTTATGAAAAATATGCCTATGTGCAAGTCTGTGTTATTTACACACCAATAATTCACACTAAACTTAATAACATTCCTTATATTTACATTTTACATGTTCAAAAGCACCAAAAATATACCCGGTACTCAATTTTTGAATTATTTACTGCCCTATATTGTTACATTTTTATTAACGTCTCTGTAGCTCATTGTGACGTCACTTTAGCACGAGTTTCTCCGTGCATATTTCTATGCGTGATTATACACGAAAATGGCATTCAAATCAATTTCACAGTTGGCTTAGATGAAAAACATAGCAAATGTAAATATTGCTAATTTAAAGGTCACAAAATGATTTTTACCTGCTCCACTGACTTGTCGCCGGTAAAACTCAGTTTCTGACCGTTAAATCAGCAGTAACAGTCGCAAAAATCAAATGAGAATACAATTAATCCCTTAATTTTGCAATATTAATCACTCATGTAAAATAAGGAGTCTACAGTATTTTATTTTCTCATGATATGTTAGACCTATAAATTTGAAAAAAAGGAAAGGGATTAATTGGAGTAGGTTTTAATTTGTACCAATTATTTCAGATGAAGAAAAATCATAACAAATTTTACACTGGTCTATTCCTTAATCTGGAACAAGTAAAACCTTAACTATCACATTCTAAAAATTACTCTGAAATTTATACCTTCTGCCATTTTCTGTGTTTAACTTTGTGGTGATTAGAGAAGACATTTTTCTGAGGAAATCGGATGAGAAGGAAACAATGGGTTCCTCTGGAGATAGAGTGATGTTTGTCACAGACATCATTTTACTGGAAAACCTGGTCCAATTCAACTAAAAGCAATCACCAAATTATCAACAGTCATGTCTTGTCTATAGCTAATGAGAGAATTGTCGAAGTAAATTCACTGCTAAAGTAATTTGTATTCAATTCCATTACATTGTACACCTTTTCAAACGAAAATCTGAGGAGTTTTTCTAACATGGCCCTAGTGACTTCTTCAAATAAAGGTTAATGTATGTAAATCTTAGAGATTTCAAGATACAACTTCTAAGCAGTGAATATGTATTTACACTGTAAAAGTACATACCAATATTTCTTAAATAAAAAGATTATAGTTTATCTACAGCATATCTACAGATGAGGGTTAATCTATTTCATAAAGAATTCTACAGCTACTTTTCTTTTCTTTTTTTCAATGAAACTTCGTTTCTAGTAATCGGAATCCTATCATAAAACTAGAAATATATCCATAGGATATAAATGCCCCAACCAACAGTACTATTGTATTGCAACATGAATTAAATGTACCTAGTTTCTACATTTTGATTGCAATATCCTGAAAATGGAAGTTCAACATCATAGGAAGCTGAAGGTCATCAGGAAGATCAAGGTCGGGAAATTATGTCAGGGTCAGTTGCATTGCTCTCATAAATATGTATCTTTGCATGAGATTTGATTGAAATCTATTGAAAAATGAAGTCACAGGTCCAAGGGGAAGGTCAGATAATTATGAAATTTTAAATAAAGCTTGCTGTTATCAATTTGTACCAGTGTGTGAAGTTTGATAAAAGATATCTTAATCAATTTCTTTCAAACTAAGGTAAATACAAAAGAAGAAATTGTGAGTTCAATGTCACAGGGCAGGTTGAGGTCAGAAAATTATGATACAGTAGAAAAGCTGATTTCTAGCTTTCCACTTTGTTTCGGTGTATGAAGTTTGATAAAAATATTTCTAATAGTTTTAAAATGGAACTATACACAAAAAAGGAATATTGAGGTCAAGGTCATAGGGAAGAACAAGGTTAGAAAATTATGACAAAGTTGATAGCTCTCACCAATATGCATCAACTATGATTTTTTAAAAAATTATTTTGGACAAATTCTTTGAAACTGAGCTAATACAATGTCTGATGGATGGACACATGGAAGGAGAGAAGGATGAAAGGATGGAAAAGATATGAAAAAATACTTAGTCTACTTGCCCCAGCCATAAAGGCCATCCGTGCCCAATTACTTACAAAAGGAGCTATTTCCTGTAGGTCTGGTATAGTGATCTTGTGGTAGATCTTCTCTTCATCTCGTCTGTCCTCACTTGGTACTGTGATCTACAGAGAGACATGACATATTCCTCACTATAGGTACATGTACTGTGATCTATAGAGAGACATGACTTATATTCCTCACTAGATGCTGTGATCCACAGACAGACATGGCATATTACATGCTTCCTTAAATATCTCTCTCTCTCTCTCTCTCTCTAATACATGACATTGTTCTTAACTTCATTAAGTCAATGATCTCGTAACTGTCCATCACTTCTCCCTTTAGTGGACAAGAGGACACGTATAACTGACATAAAATCAATCCCACTCACATTAGCCAGCTCAGTCTCAAATGCTATCACATCTTGCATGTGTTTCCTTGTTATGTTCTCCTCACCTCCCATCAAGACACCAACTTTTGTCATGTAGTCCAAGTAGGCATTCAATACCTGCAGAGAAATGTCAACTAAAAGTAGATACATATGTTAGGGGATAGTGTAATTGGTTAAAAAGGAGATTACTCTTGCCAGTTTCTCAAACTTGCATTGTTACAGAACCATTGCATGATCATTAAAGAAATTAAGAAAATCAAGTAAATTTTAATCAAATTTAACCAAAAAAAAAACAATAACAAAAAAAACCCCCAGGAAACTGAATTAAATTTTGTTTCAATTGAATGCTTGAGACTTAATTTGAACTTGCCCATCCTACCTGATATGCTCAGAAATAGATTTCTGCATAGGAGTCTCTGGATTTAATGAATACACACAAAGTGAAACTTTTTAACAATCAATATAGTTCCTCATTAAAAATTAATTTACAAACCTCAAATCAGAATTGAACAAATTTGTTTTTAAAAGTAATTTTATTGCAAATTCTTTCAGTGAATTCTTACAAGCTAATGATAGAAAGTTTTGAAGTGGTACATGTATTCACAAATCTAGAACTTTGTGACTTAATTTGAACAGCAGCAGCACTGGGGTGTTTCCTAGTGGTTGCTAAATATAGCCAAACTTAGACTATAGTAAGTATTTATAGTACCTTTCTGTCAGACTCATTGAGATAATACTGTCTTTCTGGTAATCCTAATCCTCCTTGGTCAATCTGAAATAATTAGGACTTGATAATTAAAATTGTACAAAATTAAACAGAAAAAAAGAATAATCAAAGTGAAATGAAAGACTGTAAGGTCAGAACGATTGCCTGATAAAAGATACATGTATAGCGGTATTGCTAGCTAATAAGGAAGAATTCAATACATTAGCATAAATACAGACAGTCTACTGTTAATAAAGTTGCAAATATGAAGTATCCATTGGACGAGTGGACTTTCTACACTTTTTTTTTTAAATATCAAATGAAGCTTGTTACTGTCCTTTTTTATTGTCCATAGTTTCTGGTTTCTTGATAAATCTACAAGGATATACACTTTAATCATCTAACTTGTAAAATATTGACGGATGAATTCCTGTCATCCACTTCAACCCAGATAGCAAACAGAACTCCAATTCCATAGGCTTTGATTTTCTCCACCATTCCCTGTATGTCTAAATCTTTGGTTTCATTCAGCTTTGGCCAGACACCAATACCAGCTAGTAGTTCCTTTACTGGCTGAGCTCCGAGCTTCTCTATTGTCTTATTGCGGTCCATACAAGATTCATAATATTTCTGAGCTTTAATTTCAGCCAAACTTGCCGTTTTGTTTAGTGGTTTTTCTGTGAGGGGAAAAAATTTCTGCATATTTATGGAGTTGAAAAGTTTACAGAGGTATTACAGTGAAATATAGATATATGAAAAGGTAATGAAAAAAAAAATCAGATTACAAAAGTTACTGTTTCTGTTTTTTTTAGCAAAATGATTGCAAAATATTCACGTATGACAATCTGTAAATTCAAATTGATTAATATTTTTTTGTACATTACACATTGAACACAGTAGTGAATTATACACCTAGTATAGTTACTCAGTAGTTCAAGAAGAGCTTCCTCTAACTCTTGTTCTCATGATCTTATTAACCACCTGATTATATTCATGCAAGTAAACAAATATTTCCATCCCCACACCAAAGCTAGTGGAATTAGATGTCATTTACAATAGATTTTAACTTTAATCTGCAATAAAGCTTACATTAACCCAATACACATTCTGATTTTATTTTTGTTTGGATAATCTTACAAGTACCTACCATATTATGAACACCTGTCTAATGTATAAACATCAAAAAAGTCATTCAGAGAGACCTCAGATAGGACACGGATACATGCACTACCTTCACATTATGCAGTATTCTTATAGAGTCCAAATAAGTTCAACATTTATTGTTTTTTTTTTAAAAATGTAGAAAGTGAAAATAACTTGAAGACACAGACTTACCAATAACTTTTTTCAATACAATCTGATTCTCCTGCCAAAGAACGTTAAATGTCCCCCATCGGGAGTGTCCTGAGGGTATGGGATGACTGTCCACCCATCCTCCACAGGCATACTGATAAAAATCTTCACAGGGGTCAGCTGTGGTGTCCATGGCATTGTAAATGGAGGCTGCCACTGTAACACAGGCTGGGGTGACACACACTGAAGGGTGCTCAGGACAAGGGGGAGCAGGGCTGGGGGTGATAGTGGTGGGGGTGGGGCAGTTCTTTGTGTAGTTTGTTTTAATGATAGGAATGATATTTCCACATTCTTTACAAATCTGTACTAAAAGAAGGAAAAAAAAAGCTGCTCTCACTATCTAACAGTGCAAGATGAAAACAGGATGTGTCCTTTCCCATAGTTTTAGAAATCATGACACATATCACAATTATCTTGGAAAATTTATTGATTAACCAATCATCTTACAGTACACATTTCATATATTGTGTGCTTTCTCTTATTTTTTTTCTAAAAGCCGTGAAATATATCAAAATTACTGTGGAAGATCTATTGATTAACCAGTCATCTTACACTTTTGTTGCTTTGATGCTTCTTGGTCTGCCTGGTTACTGGAGGTTTTGGTTGCCAGGACAATGGACATTATGATGACAGTAAGTATCAACAGGAAGCATAGGACGATCAGTATACGCTCCAGCAATGTCTTACGCTGCCAGGAAAATATGCTGCTCCTCACCACCACCCCTGTCTCAAAGTTCAGGACCCCAGGGGCACTGTTTTCTGAGGCCTCATCCTCTTCCTCTAGGTGGGTATGTTTGTAACCCTTATTGGACATCTGTGGAAAACAGAGACAAATGCAATACAGTATTAAAATAAGTGAGAAACAGATTTGTTGAATTCCTTAAAATTTTTGAAAAAAGCATCCAAACTTTTCTTCCAACTATTTCATGGACATACCCTTTGGTACATGATTTAATTAAATACAGATAGATATACATGTATAGATATAAACTTGAATAATGTTTGCAAAATTAAGTGCTGAAATTTCATAAGATTTTGTTATAATGTCAATGACATAAAATGTGTGCAAAAATTTGTAGATTTTTATAGAAAATGGAACAGAGTTTCATGTTTGAACACCAAAGAAAACCTATGAATTTTATAATATCTTTTAGGAATTTTTATTATTTATGTCATTTCTATTCAAAATCAGTCAAAAAATAAATACCAATGCATGCAACATTTTTTTTGGTTTGTGTTTTTTTTTTTCATTTTCAAATATGCTTCTCAAATCTGAAAGCTGCATAGAAAGTTGAATTTCCATTTTCCCGCCCTTTAAAGGTTACTTTTCGACTGAATTCTCTAGCAGAGTGCTCCATGCATACAATTAAGTACTTCTGAACTTGATATATTAGTATCATATCCAATTAACAAAATGTTTAATATTTACAAAGGTGTTACATGTACTACCAGCAGGAAAATAGAAACAATAAAAGCCCACATTGATCTAGTGAAAACTGCCACCAGCAAAATTATATTGGAAAATATGATACTATTCATCATTTACACATTTCCATCTGTTCCAAGCTAATAACTTAATGTCACTTAATTCTATTGCTACATTGAGCCAATTCAATTGATTGACATTTTTTGTAAACAATGAGTAACTGTGCAACACCTGAATTTACAAGATTCCTTTCATTCCCAATGGTATCTATCCAGAACCTGCTCTGATACATTGGACACAACTTTAAAACATTACAGATCAAAGTACATACAAATTTAATTTCTTTGACACCACTATCCAGAGATTACCACTAACTGACATGTACCGCTTTCTCATCCTTGACACCACTATCCAGTCAGAGATAACCACTAAATATAACTGATTGACACCACTTCATCATCCTTGACACCACTATTCAGTCAGAGATAACCACTAAATATAACTGATTGACACCACTTCATCATCCTTGACACCACTATCCAGTCAGAGATAACCACTAAATATTACAGATTGACACCACTTCATCATCCTTGACACCACTATCCAGTCAGAGACAACCACTAAATATTACTGGTTGACACCACTTTCTCATCCTTGACACCACTATCCAGTCAGAGACAACCACTAAATATTACAGATTGACACTTCATCATCCTTGACACCACTATCCAGTCAGAGATAACCACTAAATATTACAGATTGACACCACTTCATCATCCTTGACACCACTATCCAGAAAATCACTTAAAAGTTAAGAATGATAGCAACATATTTATCCTTTACACCACTTTACAGCCACTTCAAATTTTAGAATGAAACCAACATCAGCATTCTGATAACACCTTACTTCTATACAGATAACCACATCATGTAACATCAATATTATACAGAAATACTACTTCAAAGTACAGTCATACTACTTTTATGGTATCAAGATACCACTTAACATTACAGCCTAATACCATTCCTTGCCACCACTGTATACATTGTGTTAAGGTTGACAACCACCACTTACAGCAGTATGTACACCTATGGATGGCCTCCAGCAGTATATTAACCAGTCTGACTTTTACTGTCTATTGATAAAACATCATAGAATTAACCTCAGTATCACACTTCCTCTATTTCAGCAGTGGATTAAAATCGATGAGACATGCTATGGGGCAGTGCTGTTATATTTAGTAATAGAGCCTGGTAAATCTTAAAGTCTCTCAATAAAACTAATTATTCCATACAAAGCTTAGAGCCTACAGTTATTGTGAATGGTATTGACTACTGACTAGATGATTGGGAGAATTCCAGGGCTATATTCTATCTGTAAAGTGTTTAACAAACTTGATAGAAAATTCACTCCCAATTTTTCCTCATGTCAGATACACAGATGTAAGCAATAGACATTCCAAAGTATTTTTATTTTGTTTTCTTTTCCAACATAATTACTGTTGTTCAATAGCTGTCAAGTACACCATGTGGCACAAAGAAAAATAAAGATTCTGAGAGTATTGCTGAGTACAATTATTGTCCCTTACCATCCCTCAAATTTCTTTACAATGCAAAGATATCATAAAGACACCCATATTCAAAATTTCTTAAAATATATAATATCTGTTACCACTAGACAATAGTCAAAGTCCACAAGTTAAAAAAAACTTCAAAATATCTGATGATTTGAGATTTTGAAGTTATAATGCAGAAAGAAATAGTGGCTGGGACTTCCACTTCATGCAGATACATAGTAATTAATCAAGATACTGATGTTGGAGATGACAAAGTTCAAAACAGTACAGTGTTTCATATTTCAATGAAATACAATAAAATTCAAGCAAATTCCATCAATTAATGTTCAGTCACAGTTGCAGATTTTTTCCCCCCATAAAACATAAGGGAGTGTAAGATTTTTGAGGGTTGGTAAGGATTGGGTGGGGGTGGGGTTTTTTTTTGTTGGTGGTGGTGGTGATGGTGGTGGTGGGGAGGGGATCCAACCAAATAGCATAGAATTAATTAAACTGATCATTGTAAGTTTTTCATTGCTTATAATTCTTCACAAAATCATGCAAAGTGGACATACTTTTGACTCCAATGGTCAGTTAGATACGGAAGTTTATTGCTTTAAATCTGAACACCTACACTATTGACTTTCTTATTGGGGGTTGTGTATTTAATGGTGATAACCACACTAACTAAATTCTAAATAAACATAACAATATTTATTCATTTTCCCCAACATCCCACACAATTACCTCAATCCTGATAACAAAAACTGTACAAAACTGCAAGATCAGGTTTAAGATTAGTAAAATCAAAATTTCAAAATGTTTGGAGATAATTCAGAGAATTATAAAATATTCCAGTTGATTTCTATGAAGAGGAATTGATCCTTGGAGCTTTTAAATGAAAGCTGTTAAAATAGGTGATGGGTATGGCTGAAGCATGATTACTGAATCACGAGAAGATAAAAATAACACACAAAGTACACTGATAGGTCTCGCTGCTGAAAATGCTTGATAGCAATATTACCATTGTGCCATAAATAATTATATTATTGTAAAATTGACAGAATTTATACCACATACAGCTTTAGATGTGCAGAAATAATGTTTTATTAATATTAAAGAATGCCTATCATATACTTAGTCAATGCATATGTAGAAAATTCAAAATCACCTATTTTTGTTTATTTTTTTTGTGCAGCACTCCTTAAAAAATGTTTGACATGACTTAATCCAGCTACAGTTATGATATATATTATATAGAATAAACCATCTAATAGTTTTCCCTTTGTGTAATTTTCTTACTTTTATAATCTATTTGTGAGAGATTTGTCTTTATGGTGTTCCTAACAGGATGCTTGCAACTGAATTTTGTGCACGCATGTTTAAATAACATAAGTATGTCATTTGTACAACTAATGGTTTTTAATGAAGATGAAACTTTTCAAATGAAACCACTCCATTAATGGACTGAAAATGACCAGCTGTCTGAAAAAGGGGAGTAAAAAAAGTTACAAAGAAAAACATTAAAACAAGTTTGTAAAATGACAAGATTTGCAAACTGTCCGCTATATATGTACATGTATTATTTATACGAATGTACTAATGCTATATAATATAATAATTAAGCTTACATATTGGTAAACTCAAGATAGCATCATAAACTTAGAAAAGGCTTATACAGATCATAGGAGGAAGATTGCTGACTACCATATTCTTCAAATGGCTGTATATTTTGGGGGGAAAAAACTTGATCCCTCTTAAGAGAGTTGGTTATGGGGAAAAAAATCATTAAAATCAAACAAACCATTTGCAGCAGCATGTAAGCATTATTTAAACTTGGCAGTTCTCAACTCTTGCTCTTGACACTTCATGTAATGCAATTATTTTCACTATCTAAATCCTAAATAATCAATATAACTGTTATGCAATATGACAACATTTTTCATAAAGCAGACAAAAGAATAATTTATTACAACTTTAAAACTGACGGAAATGACAGAAAACAGCATGTGCAAAATAATCCCAAACTACACTTAAAAAGCAAATTAAGTGTAATACATAACGAACTTTTTAAAACTTAATAATTTTTTTTATGGAGAAAGAAAAAAAAAAAGTTTGTAAACATGCAATAACAGTACATACCACACACATGCATACATACACACAACCATTCATATTAAACATCTTGTAAAATATTTGTCATTTGTTTACTTGATAAGAAACTTAAGTATATGCACCCTCTTGTTCATATGATTAAATATAGGAGGAATCATGAATTAGCATTTTTAATATTAAACAATACACTAAATTTTCAGAGATATATATGCGTCTGAATTTCTGACATTTTTTCCCCTTTTTTCCATAACTATTAGAGAGCACTCATGACAAAGCATCTATTTATGTATATGTAATTATTTATATGTAATTATTTTTTATATTAACATTGATATTATATGTACTTTTGACATCCTGAATGAAAAAGCAGTGGTCAATCTAAAAAAAAAATCTACAAACAATACAAATATGTGAACAGGGCATAAAACACAGATACCCCAAAATTCCAGAGATGGGATCAGGTGCCTTGGAGGAGTAAATGATATTTTTAAAACATTTGTACATTTGATTTCTGAGTTGCACCTTTTGAGATTTACATGCATGCAATAAATATATCTTTTAATTTCTTTTTTTAATACAAATAGGACATATTTCCTCAACTTTTATAGCCATATACTGTACGTGTACATTATAAAATTGGCGTATTCAAAATTTAGCGCAATCACTGGGTATTGAGTTATTGGTGTATTCATTAATTAGCGCTACAGACTAACGCGCCATATATTGTATTTCTAAATCATTTATTAGCGGTATTCATGAATTAGCGCATCGTTGTCCATGCCAAAGCTATAAAATATGAAGCCCGCTATTTTAAGTACACATACAGTAATTAAAAGATAGTTTTTATGCAATGTAAAATGAATTTAAATAAATATACATGTAATTTTTAATATATAACATTGCTGCAAAACGAAACTATCTAGCTAGAAGTCTTAATGAAAATGCATGACCAAAACTAGGAGGAGAAGCATTACCTGAAAGAATTTAACAAAAACTTTTATTTTCATGCAGTAACCATGGCAACACTGTTCATTGAAATAAAATAAACCCATAAACAGAATATGAATATATCTTGGTGCAGGGTACTTAATGTTATCAAAACTAAATTAAATCAGACCAAAACTGAAGCTGCTTTTTAAAAAATTATTTACAGCCAGAAAATGCATGTTCATTTTATAAAGCTCTTTTGTTCTTCTACAACCAAAACATGCAACATTTCACATGTATATGGAGGATAATATAAAACTGGATTTTAATAAAATCTTGTGATTTTACACACAGATAATATTAATAACAAACATCTTTTATATTACAAGCATTATATGATTGATGAACTCAGCAGAGTTCTAAGTAATCCAATAATCCTCTTCAGTACTAATTTCTTATTTTATCCACTGAAAGTCGGTATGTCATTCTTATCTTTGTCATCAGTTTCCTGCATTGTGAACAACATATTAGGCTGGGGCTGCTTTTAATACAATTACAGGATTACAACATTATACATGTATTCAGATGATAAACCCACCTGTTTTTTTTTTTTAAATAAAACAAAACAAATGGCAGAGCATTATAATTACTTCAACTAATCCATATTTTTTATTCATAAAAATTGGAATGCATTAAATTGCATTGGGCTGAAAACAATAACCCCACTTTTAAATTATACAAGGATATACTAGAACATGCTAGAATGATACAGGTCAGATATACATTTTATGGCTCATGATGCTATAAAATCTCTGCAATGTAATTATGCTTACCTGTAAATACATTTTATCCATGGAGACTAAACAAGATGTCAGAGGATATTGGCCATTAAGGAATACAGCGTAAATCCAATAATTTTAAGTCACGGCCAACTTACATCCAGCCACCACAGAACAAGGACACTCATGTATACATAAACTTAAACGGTTATACCCTGTACATTAATTTTCCTCTGGTGATAAGGACAAATGATTTTTGCTGATAAGGTACGATGATGGGTAAATACTCCTACATAGGGTTATATCCCTGATACAATACAAAATAGAAGGCTGTATCCCAGGCTAGTTCCTGTCTGAGTATTGATTTACCATTACTGTGAAATACACAATGAAAGGATCTTCCTTTTTGCACAATTAAGTTCATTACGTTTATGATAGGGTAAGAAACTCGAGGCCATATTCATCGGATCCAAATTTCATGCCAAAACTAGCACCAATACAAGCATAATTATAAGCATGTACATGTATTTACTGTATATCGACTCAAGGAGGGTCTGCGATATTCATGACTTTGGGATACAAACAATGATATGGATTTTATTGATTTTATTTCTCGTAATATGCCTCCAAGTTTTCAACAAGATGAAAATGATATAAAGCTGCTAGCAGCCTCAATGCCTTGACCTAGCATTGAACCACTCCATAATGCCTCAAGATGACTCCTTATGTCATTCAACTTTCATAACTGTTGACTAAGGCAAAAATCTTATTTAAAGTTTTATCGCTGCTGGTTAGCAAAATTACAGAAATCTGTATATTGATTTCTACAAAAAAAAAAAAAAAAAAATTATGAAAGTTGAGTTTGAGTTGGCCTAAGCAATAAATGTAGGTTTTGTGAGAGATAAAGGTACAGTATTCAGTAGATATTATACTCATTTGAGGGAGGGATTTTATCAGATATTAATCATGTCTATGATTTACTTTCTATTGTGTCTACAAATCATTAGGAATTTTAAATATTTAATACTGCCACTTAATAGTCAAAAGTGATATTTACATGTTTAATTATCTCTTTAAAACTACCGTACTAAGAGTTTCACAAAATTCTACTTGTAATTATAATGACCTTCTGCATATCATTTGTTGCACAATATACACCATGTGTATTTTTTATTTATCTATTTCTAAAACATTCTGTAATTAACTTTAATGCATCACAACCAAGTATTTCTTCAAATCAAATAGTTTCTCCATTTTACCATAATACTGCTAGGTAAACAACTAAGCATTTTTGAAATGTTAATTTCCCGCTTATGTAAACTGCATAAGAATTTCTTTTCAAAGCTTTCAGAAAAATGCTTCAGTGTCCAAAGTTAAAACCTGTTCCCTACATTTCTGTGCCACATGGAGACATTAAGAACATTTCAAACAAATAATGGAAATAAATATGTATGAATTTAATACTTAAATAAAAAAAGCACATCCATTTTAATGTCTGTAGTTTATCACAAATTTCTACCATGAACTAACATTCTTCCCTAATTTTTCTCCTAAGAAATACAGTATAAAGCTGTATGTAAATGAGTAAGCTCAGTTTTGATAATAAAGGACCTGGCACAATTTTATTTGCAAAAATGGTTTGAAAGGTAAAGGGTGGGACGATGTGTCTACATAGTTTGAAGTGGGTTTTTTTCGTTTGATTTTTTTAAAGTTTCTAATTTTCAAATATCTTTCGTTTTATAGAAAACATCAATTTTTAAACACATTTCAAATAAATTCCAATATTTTCATCGACACATGAAGAAAGATGTCAATGACCTTACATGGTTGTTTCACATTCAGTTTCTTTTATGAGAAAAAAGAAGGTAAACTCTTAAGTTAATGGCCTCCAATGTCTTTGTTGTTATAATGCTTACATCTACCAGTATTTCAAATGACTTTTTGTATCACCGCTCCTTGGCTAAAAACATCTGATGAACAACAATACACAGACACATGTGATAATTGATATCTATAAGCTCTAAGATAACGACTTCTTATAATTTCAATGAACTACATGTTTAACGATACGTTCACAGACCATAACATTCAGATCTAACAGATGTCTGAGGATAATACAATATAAAAAATTAATTATGTACCACCGTCATATATTTTCCACACCATCTCTGAATGATCAATTATTGATCTAAAACTTGTTTAAAATTAACACTATTCTATTATTCATGTTTGTTAACCCAATCATTTACAATATCATATATTACTTCATCCAATAGAAGACTTAAATTCACACAAAAGATTACGTTTCCATTGTCAAACAAATAAGTTACATCTGAAAACTAAGAAATCATAAGAGTGAAATATACTTACCATAAAAACCTTTCTAAAACAACAATAGAATGATTACAAGGCCAGTTCTCACTAACTCTACCAATTTATTGATAGATTCTGCTCGTGTGCAATAAAATGCAAATTTCTATGATAAACATCTTTTCTATTATCCTATTGCCTCTCAGGATATGGCTGTGAGAAAAAAGCATTGATCTTTGAGTTGTAAATAACCTCCAAGTCATAAGCAACTTCCTCCATGTGGCCTGAGTGTTACATTGCATAAAATATATCTTAAAGTTTAAATGAATTATGAAGGGTATATTTATCAAATATTTATGAACTGGATATAAAAAATACATTGTTATATATACATGCAGACTTGCATATTTACCATTCTAATATTAGTGCAAAAAAATTGTTTTAAATTTTGTTTTGTTTTCTTCTGGGTTGTATGAATTTGATTTAATATTTAATGAAAATTGTGTGGTGCTGAAATTTGGCCACTACAAATTGCTTGCCCCAATTACCACCCCCCCCCTCCCCAGCCCCAATACATTATCAATGATGTTTATTTTGTATCTCATCTGCATGGTTAATTAAAAACACATAATTTGTTCATAACTCATAAACTGCCTCAGCAGGACTGTGTAAAATGCTTATATGCAAATTGATTTTTGTGACAATCATTATATTGCAATAATTGCAATGCTAAAATGTATTATGATTTTTGTGACAATCATTATATTGCAATAATTGCACTGCTAAAATGTATTATGCCCTATACACATAAGGCTGATCAGATCAATTAACATTCTATCATCGGTCATTTTCAAAGTCGTTTTCTTATTTTTCAATGTAGCAATCATTCCAAACCACATTTTATACTATATGTGTATTGTACAAATAATGTAAATCTTATCCTTTTCTCTCACTTCTAAGTTTCAAAATTTTATTTTCAAATTTTATTTTATTCAGTTGAGACATACTTCGATCCTTGCCTTTAAATTAATTTACAAAATATATTTCAAGATCATTGTCAGAAACCAACAGTTGCATACTTAGTTTCTCACTCCATGTCAGAGATGAACAAAGCATAATCAACTGTAAGTTTCTGACGATGGATCAAGATAAATATCTTTTTAATAGTACCTTGTTAAATGAAATTAGCCTACACATTTCTATAGGAAATGCTGATTAAAGAGAATTTTATTATTACAGAATGCCTTCCCCCATTTTTCTATGACCAAAAATATTTTCTTTTAAACTATTTTCTAAAAAAAAAAAAAAATCTTTCAATTTCAATTGTTTCAATCTAATAGTAAACTGTACATTTGTAAAAATAAAAAAAAAAAGAAAAGAAAAAGAAGCTCCAGATGCTGAAAATTTTTAAGAGGAAATATTTGAGATCCAGAGTACCGATTATTTCATCCTTGGATTTGAAATCAACATAAAAATTGAAAAGATAAAGATTTTTCAATAACTTACCTTTGATTTATTGATGTAACTGCTATTTTCCACCTACATCCTTTCGTCACAACTTCATCAAGTCATGTAAAAATGTTTACATTATCGACGCAGTTCTCCCCCTTTATGTATTTTTTGCTAAAGTGTACTAAAATTATTCTTAGAACCGACAGATTTGACGTAAGGGTTAATGAAAAGTTTATTTTCAACCAATCAGATTTTGTTTTTGTATTATACGAGGGCCTTTTCAAATCAACTTCCTGTGTCAACACATTGGTCACATTGACATGATCTTCGTGCAATGAAACTGTTCTTAATCGTTATCGTTTTAATTTGGCAATACAGAGAGTCGGAATGTGTTCTCGACTCCATAAAACATTGGATGTTTGGAGACGACACCCAACACAATGTTGACAAAGCCCTCAAAAAGAGTAGCGCTAAGTTTGAAGTCGTATCAACTGATACAAAGTTTTTAAAACTTGCTAGTGAGCTCACGGATATGTCACCGCTAGATGCCTGCTATCATATTGTAATTCATTTAACTTCATATTTAAGAATACATTTACTTTTCAATTCACAAAATAAGATTCATTACTTGTTTTTGATTGTGCAACAGACATCTTTCAGATGTCTAGGTATTGCAAATTTGTGTATTTTTGGTTTCAGGTTGTGTATAAATTAAAGAAAAAATGTGGGGAACTGAAAGAAGAGGATTTAGGAAAATTAGCTGTTCAACTTTTAAACTGTCAATCCATGGCAGAGGACAGACCCACTTTTAAGTGCACTGCAGAGATGGTATGTTCAAACTGAGTTGAACAGGTCTGGTACAATCACTAGATTAAGCTATGTAGCTTGAATTATCTACATACCTTTACTTACCTACTTGAGGTAGGTTTATTTAGGTACACAATCATTCTTATTTCTTAAATTAGTATAACATTTTACCATTTTTTTCAGGATGTAAAAAAAAACTTGCACTTTGATGCAGCAATGATTTTCAAACTTTTGAACTGAACTGATACAATTCATGAAAAATCACTCTTGAAGATGTTTCATTTTCAGTGCAATCAGGGTTTTGAAATTCACTATATACAACTCGCAAAATGCAAGTTAGAATTCCCAAATTGCAAATTAAAAATTAGGTAACTCACAAAAACTTGCGAGTTTATCTTTTTTCCTAAGGAAAAAATCAGTCCCTTCTTGGTTATAGTTTTCATTTTGGGTATGTATTTTATTTCCCCCTTATCTAAATATCAGCATGGCTAGTTTTTTTTTTTTTTTAGCTGCAATTGGGAGAGGGTGCTGAAAACAAATGAACAGCACCAACAATGATGATCATGTAGTACGTGTTTCATTTGAAATGTTAAAAAATAATAGGCATGGGAAAAGGGTTATATATAACCCTCAGAAAAAAAAAAGTTGTGAATGACTTATTTGTGAAACTCTATCATAAAATTTGTAAGAACTTTGTCACTTTATAATAATAGATGTATAAATACAGTAACAT